GGATTGGCGGGTGCTAACGACTGCCGATGCAGCCGGGACCAACGGCTTAACGTGCCTTCCGAATCACGGAGGAACTCGAGATATTTGGTCACCCATCCAATGACCGACCACTGCGAAAGTTGCTTAACTTCAACGATTGCAGCCGAACGCGCTAACCATCTGCGCTATTGTGTTCCTCCCTTTTTGGTATAGCAAGCGTCTGTAGGTTATGATGGCCGCTTGCCATCAGGTGGGCAATCACACTAATATTATAAAGGCGAAAGTTTGTGAGTGTGTGAGTATGTGAGTGTGTATGTTTGTTACTTCTTTACGTCTAAACGACTGGAGCGATTTTAATAAAATTTGGTATGGAGTTAGCTGACACCCTAGATTAACACATAGGCTACTTTTATCCCGAAAACATGTTAGGTTCCAGAGGGATTTCCAAGAAACTAAGTTAACGCAGACGAAGTCGCGGGCGACCTCTAGTATGTACATAAAGACAAGACCAACAAAACGTAGTTTAATCCTTGATAATGGTAAATATTTTAGTTGTCGTAGTTCGGTTAGTTAAATTATTTATTAAATTCTCTATCACAAAAGCGTTATCGGTCAGATAACACTGGCTAATTAATTTGAAGCAATTAATCTTAGTTATGTTCTCGTTATCAATAAATATGATATCTGCGTTTGTGTTAGAATATTTATTATGTTCATTCCGATTGAATGAAATTAAGGAAATCTACATTTTTAAACACTATTAAGTATTTTTAATAACGAACAGTCATCATCTTGATTTTAGTCTTTGATTAATGTTCTCGTATTCCAATAAGGGAAAAATGATATTTTGAATTAAGAAGAAGTTATTTTTTTTATTTATTTTTTTACAATCTTCTTTATTTATTATTATTATTATTATTATTTAGAGTCTTTTACCTTATAAAGATACGCCAGCCCCATCATATCCTAACATTATAAATTACAAAATTAATATTAAGCTACGACGATTCATTGTTGCAAAAATATATATAAATAAGGCTTTTGAATATTTCCGACTGCGAATCTGGCAATATTGTTGCGAATATTCCTACACCAAGGTGAGTTAAATGGCCTTGTGGAAGGATATCATATTCAGCCTTGCGTGCTGTTTGCAATTTTGTGTTGTTTGAATATTCAAACGTTTTCGATACCTTCCAATGGCGTCGCCAGCTTATGGCTTAGGGGAGGCATTATGGGGCTATGCCCTACCTTAAAACGGGCGGCAGCAGCCAGATGGGGGGGGATACAAATCTTTTTATATTCTGTTTTTCAATTTGGTTGTAGTGAAGTTGGAAAGACAAACGACCACTCTCAGCCCAAGGTTGTTACGAATATTGCCAGGTGAAATAATTTGTGAATTTAAAAAAGACAGAGAGAAAGGGGATTGTAGTGGGGTTTTAAGGTTAAAAGGAAAGGATTCAGAGAAAGTGGGATTAAGGAGAGGAGGAAGCTAAGATAATGAGGATCATTACTAGGTGGGAGGAGCTCGATGGCGCCGGTGGTGAGCACGTTCGGCTGCGATCGTTGAACTTAAGCAACTTTCGCAGTGGTCGGTCATTGGATGGGTGACCAAAAATCTTCTATCTTGAGTTCCTCCGTGCTTCGGAAGGCACGTTAAGCCGTTGGTCCCGGCTGCACCTGTAGTCGTTAGCATCCGCCAATCCGCACTGGGCCCGCGTGCTGGGTCATGGCCCAATCTCCCTATTCCATCCATAGGGAAGGCCTGTGCCCCAGCAGTGGAGACATTAATAGGCTGATGATGATGATGACTAGGTTAGCAAATCAATTCAAAATCAACAGTATAATAATCTCTAATAAGCTTTTTAATTAATATACTTTTTAAGTGATCCAAATCGGTTCATTCGTTGCGATTTTAAACCTAATTTTACGGTAGCCAATATTCACTGGCGGGCGAAACGTGTGACGTCACAGAGCTCGATCGTGGTTCACTTCGGTCGAACTTTAGTAGCGTCTTTACGCATGCTCGCACCCGATCACTAGAGCTCTGTTTCGTCACAGTCACCACGCGGCCAGCCGAAAATTCGTTTAGTAATTTGGTCATAACTTCGTCAATATTTGTCGTAAAACAAAAATTTAACCACTGTTTTTTATGGAATCCTTAGCTCTATAAATCTGCATTCTCAACTGAAATCGTTACGGATCCTTATTATGACATAAAAACGGAAAGAAAAAAAGGTCCAGAGAAGAAAGATTAGAAGTGTGTAGAAAATTATAACGCACACATCAGTTTTTGGTGAGACAAGTCAAATAAGTTAACTAAGGACTATGGTTACTTTACATTTGGCTATATTTGTCTTTTGGCGACGCCTTGACACCTTCCGTTATGTTATTAATTTAAGGAAACTTAACGTTATTCACAGTCTAACTAATTGGGATCAAAGCTTGACAGCCTTGCTATCAACTGATCTTGTTATTAAATACTCGCATAAATTATATCGTTTATCATATTGTGGATTTTATTAATCATATATATAAATCAATTAGCTTTTGCAAATTTCAGCGAATCTTCCTTATTATGTCACTAAATAATATTTTATTTTGTAACATCACTATTTGTAACTTTTTTTTTTTTTTACAAAACAACGTATTGTTTTATTGGACTTCTCATTTTTATTATGTACGTATAATACAAACCTGTTAAAAAAAACATCTTTTTTGTCATATTGGATTACTGCATCCAACTACTTTCATCTTTCATCCAACAATCCAACAACTCTTGTTGTCGTAATTTGGACTCTTGTCTCAGCTGGGCTGGACTCTTGGCAGACAGCCATTCTTACCTTGCTGGCCTCACCCTTATCCCCGATCCCTGCAGCTTGAAACTATACTCACGAACCATAATAAGGTAGTGTAATTTTGCTCTTCTGTTTTAAGGTTATTTCTCATGCCCTGCGGGACGAAGCTTCGGGTGGCTTTAATACTAAATGCGCTACAATTAGCATTCGAAATTTGAATTACTACTGTCATGTTCTATAAAAAAGTCTGCAACAACAAATGCCCATCTTTAAATTTTACTCACTATAACCTTCTTCCTCAAATTAACGCGGGTGACACGGCAGGGGACCTCTAGTTGTGTCATAACTGTTATAGTTAGACAGGTTACATTTTGGTATTTTTTTTTACGTTATCGAAATTTCATACGGAATCCTAACTATTCTGAAAATACTCTATAACCTATGTTCATCAGGGATAATGTGGGATTCAAATGTGAAAGAATTTTTCTATTCGGTGCCGAAGGTCGGAGCCTATTCAATACAAACAAACAACTAAATCTTTCCTCATTAAAATGTTATAGAGTAAGATGCCAAGACTGCCCAGACCTTTGTTATTTTCTCATGGAAATAATATAGATAATGGAGTAGTATTAGGAAAAAGTTCATAATATATTACAAATTTAAAGTAAAATTTATGTTTTACTTGACTCTTATTTAGGGTTAAAAACATGAATATATTATTGCATTTTATTGCACTATAAAAATAAAAGTCAAGAAAAACATGAAATTTACTTTAAATTTGTAATATATTATGAACTTTTTCCCCGTACCTCGCACATAAAAATATATTTTCGGAAATCGTATTCATAAAATCTTTTTTTATGAGTGCGCTAATGAATCAGACGGTAACTGATATAATATTTAATCAACATTATTATCAGCCTATGAATGTTTCCGCTGCTGGAATAATAGTGTTAAAGCATAATAAATAATGTCAACAATGCAAATACTCGTAAATAATCAATCTGATATAAAGCAATAGGGTATTTGACAGTATTGTATGTGTTTAGAATGAATATTGGCAGGGGTTTTTACTATTTTTACAAAAGAAATATTCATAATTTTACTAAAAACCTACGAAAAAGATAATAGTTTTCTTATCTATTGTCACGTGACCCAAAACGCTTTGGATTGGCGGAGCCTAAAATGACGTCACACGCAAGTAAACTTCCGGCTAAAGTGACATTACATTGTATCGTTTGACGTTTTAATAACAGTCGTGTGACGTCACACACTAGTAAGACGCCATATTGTCCAGAGAAACGTTTTCGCGGCAACTTGAAAATGGAGTTTTTGATTTGGTTATTTTTACTGAAATACAAAACAGAATGATGAATATCCATTTTTTTTACGGACTCCATAAACATTAGTCAATAACGTGAGTTCGTTTTCTAAAACTTGTCAAATACCCTATTGACCCAGTGTGCTCATTTAGAACGTCTGCCCTTTTTCTTAAATTTCATGTTAATTACTGTATAACGTTATCTCACGATACTGAGTCCAGAGCATGTGCCTCACTCAGGGTTACTATTTAAAATTTTGAAAAGTCCTGACATAAAGTCGGACATTTCGATAAAAGTCCGGACATTTTAGTCACAAAATGCAAATCACCCACTTAGTTACAGTGATATTATGCTCGTGGTAGCAGACACTCGCATCGGTCTCGTTGTTCATTTTTAAAGATGATTTATACTTATATATTTTGTTTTAAATGAATGAGAACTTAATAAAGATTATTTGACTTATTTGCTATAACTTAATATGTTAGTTTTACTCATATTTCATGTAATTAATGAAAGCCGGACAACAGGCATAAATTCCGGATATTTCCGGAAAACCCGTATATATCCGAAAACCCCGGATATGTACCGAAAAATCCGGATATGTCCGGAAAAATCCGGACGGATGGTAACCCTAGCAGCACTATTTTTTCGGGGGACAGGACAGATATTTGCATACCGCACCGTGTGCATTGAGTCCGTGACAAGTCCTCGGTGATCAATTTTTTGATAAGACGCGGACAGGCCTTTTATATCAGGTTATGTAGGCAGATGTTTTTTTGGTAATAATTTACTATGACTTATTGCTAAATATTTACTATTATTTCTTTGATGACCATTTACTATTTTTTGCAATCGTTTAGGTAAAAATCCTAATTTTGTTTTTTAAATATTATGTTGTATTTTTGTTTGCAGATGCAAACGATTCTGCATCACAACAGCAGCGGCGCGACCGCGTACACCGGGCGGCTGAAGAGGCGCGAGGTGCACCGCGCCATCACCCTGCACCCGGTCAAGGAGCACCGCCAGTTGTACCGGCTGCATTCATACTTCAAGGTAATACAAACAGTTAAATTATCTATATTGTATTGTTACGTGTCGGGATGGGGTTCGAAATTATATGCCAGTTCACGCTTGACAGTTCTTTATTCACCACACCGTTCACACAATGTTAATTACAAAACACTCACTAAACACTGTATTTCACTATACAAGTCTCTAAACAATCTCACTTGAACACTTTTGTTGCACTTTGATCGCCTTTGGATTCGCTCCGAAATCGCTGTTGAAACTCAACTGTCTCTGCGCGGCGCCAATCGCGCTTATATACGCCGATCGACGCATTCTAGAAAGTACCTATTAAATTGAGAGAGGAGCTCGATGGCGCAGGTGGTTAGCGCGTTCGGCTGCGATCGTTGTAGTTAAGCAACTTTCGCAGTGGTCGGTCATTGGATGGGTGACCACAAATTTCTATCTCGAGTTCCTCCGTGCTTCGGAAGGCACGTTAAGCCGTTGGTCCCGGTTGCATCTGCAGTCGTTAGCACCCGCCAATCCGCACTGGGCCCGCGTGGTGGGTCAAGGCCCAATCTCCCTATTCCATCCATAGGGAAGGCCTGTGCCCCAGCAGTGGGGACATTAAGAGGCTGATGATGATGATGATGAAATTGAGAATTAGCTAGCATCCGCGAGTACGAAATACCTACTTATACCTACGCAGGTAACACTCATAACTTGTAAACAAGTGCAGATCTCTAGCACTTTCGCGGTTACTTTTCGAGAGCGTTTGTGACACTGCCACCCTTTTAGACATGCTCGTCCCGCATCATTGCTGCCGTGGTAAGGTGTCAGGCGATCGATGTGGATTATCTTGGGCTTCTTCCTATCTCCCTGTCTTATCCGATAGGTCACGTCCCTGATTTTCGTAATCACTTTATAGGGTCCTCCCCAGCGGGGCTGAAGCTTTGGGGAATTTCCAATCCTCTTCTGTGGACTTTTTTTATTGAAGTGAAACTTCTTTATCGGCGTTGGAAAAAAATTTACCGCCACATTTTTTTCGGTTACGCGTCACGTTTTTTGGTTACGCGCCATCTTTTTTTTAAAAGAGCACTATCTACCTCATCTGAACAATTGCTTCTTCTGTCAACTTTAAAAAAAAAGTATCGACAGCAAATATATATATAAATAGGTAAGGTAAGGTAAGGTAAGGTAAGGTAGGTTGATATGAGATTAGCTTAAGAAGATGCTAATATACCGCGGGCGCTTACGGACTGCGCCTTTGGTATTAAGCTTGATTTCAGTTTTCGTTATATATGTGTTTTAGTAAATAGTATTAGTTATTAGTATTTAGGGTTTTACTAAGTGTGTTTTATGATTTTAATAATATGAGTTTATGTTTTTCTGATATGGCTTAGTTTACGTGTTATTGAATTTTTTGAGGTTTTTAATAATGTAGAATAGGTGCTTTTTTTTTGGTAAGGTAAGGTAAGGTAAGGTAAGGTAAGGTAAGGTAAGGTAAGGTAAGGTAAGGTAAGGTAAGGTGTAGTTATACCCCTTTAGTGGGTGAGTTTTTGAAAAATCTTAGCGCACGCCTATATATATATTTCTGGAAAGTTGCATGTAGATCATATTTCGAAAAAAATAAGGCCATAAAGAAGTTTCACTTCTTACGTGTGTACACTAGTACACGCACACATTTTTTTTATATAGTGCACAAAAGAGTTATAGCAAGCAAAATGGTAAAAGACACTAAGAAAAACAATTGATAAAAAAATACTGAACTCCACTAGCATGTGCAAACAGCATGCTTATACAAGTACACAGCAACCATACATTAAAAATTCAAAATTTTAATAACAAATAACTTTACTACACAAATACTATACACAAGTCAATTACTTATACTATACAGGGCAGAGATCCCCCTTAATACTGGTTGACTCGACCAGTGGGCCAATCGCCTAACCAGATTGCTTTGGAAAACGCTATCGCTTACGATTTCATTTTGTTATTTCTAACCGCCGAAATACCTCACGCTCATTTTCTTTAACATTGTTATTACCAATGCAAAAGAAAAAAAAAGAGCGCGAGGCATTTGAAAACCTCAGGGGGCTAGAAATAACAAAATGAAATCGTAAGCGATAGCGTTTTCCAAAGCAATCCAGTTAGGCGATTGGCCCCCAGAACTGACTGACTGTCGAAGCATTTTTTCTTTTAAAAGATGTACGGGCCCCTTTCCCAACACAAACCATAGTGCATGTAGTTTCCAGTAAATGTTTTTGCAAGGCAAAAAATACCTCCCATCCTCTCAATGAAAATTAAATGTAAACATAATTATTTAAAAGACACTCACTTTATAATCTTCTTAAGTGTTTTATTAATCTTACATTAACGATATCGATCATAGTGATACGCATCAAAAATGGAAACTTTTCTAGTATAAAATATATTTTATTGTATTTTTAGGGTTCCATACCTCAAAAGGAAAAACGGAACCCTTATTTAACACTTTGTCCGTCTGTCCGTCCGTCTGTCAAGACCGCTTTTCTCAGGAACGCGTGGAGAGTCTACTGTCCCTTGGAGTTGTAAAAAATCAAATGCCTAAGCCTAAGCAATCAAAAGATACAGCCGTTTATGCCGCAAATTTTCGAAACTCGCACGGGAATTAAAACTTTCAGGGTACTTCCAGTGCACTTAGAATCTTGAAATTTGGTACGAAGTAACGTCAATAGTACAGATAAAGGAAAATTTTCGATTTTTAGTTAATTTTTAGTTACATCATATAATAAAAATATATTTAAAATTTTTAAAGTTACTACCTCTTTTCTCATGAACACGTAGAGGTATTAAATTGAGTTTGTACGGAACCCTCGGTGCGCGAGTCCGACTCGCACTTGGCCGGTTTTTTATCAGTTACTTAGCTTATTGCCTTTATCAATGCACAACAAAAAGTGATATCTTGTAGTGATCATGTTTTCTCTTATCATTATTTACCAGACAAATATATAGATTTATGTAGATTGATATCATTTTTTTATAATTTTAAAACCATTATTAAAGTAAAAGAAGGTATTGGTATCGATTCTGGCATGATTGTCTAAATCTAAACTTAAATTCGACAATAGTTTATCCTTATCATTCTCTATACAGAATGAAAAGGAGAGACTGATGTTAAATTTTGTTTTCAGTTTAGAGAATCATCCCAGAATCGACACCATAATTGATCTTAGGCGGTGTTTCTAGCTAGCAGTACAGAAGTACTCAAGGACTGCTGTCAAAGAATATTTTAGCACGGCTTGTTTACCGGTTAATTTTCAAACCTAAATCAGTGTCAAGTACATTAGGAGCGTTTTATTTAGGTTTGGCTCTACCTTAACCTTAAAAAACCGGTTTTCCTAAAAAGCGAAATCAAATAGGTTTTGAATCAATTTAGCGGTTTTTTAAGGGTTTCATTTCGCTCTTTCTGACGGCATCGATAATAAATGAATAACTTGACTCACTAGACGCTAGCAAACGTGTCAATAAATACACCAATCTCTCTGCATTAACAAGTTGTGACTTGATTAGTTCAAACATGATTAGAGTTTATTGTAAATATTCCATGTTTAGCACTGCAGACAGCACTTAAATTATCCTCTTAAACCTTAATAGGACCATTAATCCTAACAAACATATCATTAATTATATTTGACGAATATAGTATATCTGTGACTGCATCTGACAAAGCCACATATACAGCAAAAGTAGATGATTTAGTAAAACGTCTTATAGAAATAACATTTATAGTTTAACAATTAATTAAACATCCACGCGGACCAGGCAGCGGACGGGACTCGAACCCGCACCCTTCGCAATCCGGGCGAATACACTGACCAATTATGCTACCACGGCCCTGATAGCCGCGTCGAAATTTTCAAGCCCGTCACAGACGTAGCTATAATATATATTAATATATCGAAATATATATTATATTATAGCAAACTACCACAGACGGGAGCTATACTATAATATATATTTTGCCCTCACTCGGTCTGCGGTCGTTTTTGCAAGCGCACGGTTTTAAAGCTTATTTTCTAGCACAGGGTGTTTTAATTTTGAAATAACGTTATGGATCAATCTTACCGAAATTAATTCGACAAGAGCACTACTTTTAGATTTAATTGAAAGTTCCTCAAAGGATGATTCCGATGCTGAATTTGATATGCATGTTGCCTTGTCAGGAACGAAAAATAGAACCATCTGGGTAGAGTCGCATATAAAACAAAAAAAAACTTGTGGCGAATTTAATTTGTATCGTGATTTGTCATCCAATAAAGGAGATTACTCAAATTGGCCCAAATGCACAAAAGTATTAACATTTACGGTAATTCTTGGCGTAATTTATACTTTATTTTACAGTCATTAGATTTTAACGGACACCTTTGTATAATATATTCATTTTAAAAAGGACTTTTAATTTTACCGGTTTGGAAAACATACGAATATATATACATTTTTAATGGCTATTCGGGTGTAGTAACATTCAGCCAAAGACTGATCGAAGTTGTTTATATAACATAAAATCAAATCTATTTTGTAAAGATCGATAAAGAATATCATTTTTTATTACACTGTGGTATTAATATCCACAACTATAGTATCATTTTCACTACATGCAAATATGCTAAGACAATTATTATAGATGGTAGGCGACATCATAAAATCTATTGCCATACATTTTTCGCCAAACACCTCCATAACCACATTATAAGGTGTGATACACTAAAAATCTAAAATATGGTTATAATATAAACATATCAAAAATAATGAAGCTACTGAAGATATGGCGGTATAAACTAAATCTTTCTTTGGTTAACGAGAGTTTAAAAATTCTTTCTAATCTGTGGCTCATTCACAGTTTCTGTCACAGAGTACCTTCCTTATTATAACCGGAAATGCATAGATGATACGTGACTTTAAAAGTTACTCTTGTGCATTAACTTTAAAACAGACAACTATCTGTTAATCTACATGCTCTATATACCTGAATCTAATACATAATTTCGGTACTTGGCTTGATT